TGAGAAATGTCTGTTCATTTCAGATGCCCATTTTTGGATTGGGTTTTTAAATTTGGGGGGGGTTGATTTTTTTTAAATTAAAAGAAAATATATTAAGCTAAAGGCTCTACAAGCCCAGGCCTAAAGATAAAACATTCAGAAAGTCCTCAAGTCTAAAATCCAGAAAGAGAGAGAAGTAGCTAATGTTTTCCAAGAGGAAGGAAAGATGCAGGCAGGAGGACACTATTGTGCACTTTTGAGAAGGAGCAAGGTGAAAAGAGAGGAAGCTTCTAAAAGAAGTCCTCCAAATATTCTCACACAAATTCAAGCCATCATTCTATGCTGTACATGTGTGGACGTTGGTACATGAATAGTCATGTAGATATGCTCAATCTAAAACTTTCTTAGAGAATTAGTCTAGGGCCACTGTTCAGTAGCGAAAGACTGGGTAAACATTGCTCCAAGGTCATTATTCCTTCGCTGTGTCTCTGAGCCAAAGCTCGTGCCTGAACTCCGCCTACATATACGACCGAGGTGACCCTTCCTGTCTCCTGGGGCCAAGCCTGTTTTAAGGATAAATAGGAAGTTGGTTTCTTGCTGTCCACAGAAAGGCTACTTTACATGATAATAAGAAAATTGCTTATGTCTGAACATTGCTCACCACAGTTTGTTTTGACAGACTTAGCGTTCAATAAATACACAGAACAACCAAAAGGACTGGTAAGTAGACGGGGCTCACACACCATAGAAGTCGTTGCTTGTTATTCTATAGCGTCTTGGCTTAATTATTCATCGATGAATTTTTAGAAAATATGTACCTTTTTGTCAATGTGGATAAAATATTGTGATTTTTCTCTTCTATATTCAGCTTCAGGTGAGAATAGACTTTGGTAAAGGGGCAGTCTGAAATGCGCAGGAAGTCTTAATTCCAAAAGAAAAGGTACGGAATTGCGTTATTTCCTTCTAGGCGACTACGGGATGGAGAGAATTAAAGCAGGTGGGAAGAGGATGGGATGGGCGAATGCCTTGCCCGCCACACACACACACACACACACACACACCGCCTCATCTCTATCACAAGGCGCCCCAGTGCTACTCTTCCTTTATATTAGGGCACAGGTGGAAAGATTTCGAGGGGACAGGGAAGGCCCCCGGATTTCTCAGAGGAATCAGTGTGGAACCCCAGAGAAGTCCTGACTGGACGGTTGAGGCGGAGCCTGGGCAGGGGGCTGTCCCGCAAGAAGGGGCTGCGGGCGGACCCTGGTGGGAGGGCTGGAGGCTGCAGCCACTCTGTGGCTCCGCGGCCCGGCGCGAGCGTGTCGCCGTGGCTGGAGGGCACGGCCGGCGGGAGGCAGGGCCCCGCCTCTCCCTCGCCAAGCGGACCTCGCGCCTCCCCTGGCAGCGCAGAGCCGAGACGCAGAGCCTCGCCCACCCCAGTCCCCACCCTCTGCATCCTTAGCCGTTAAAGCGCGGCGGCGCCGGGAGGACCCCGGGCGCGGAAGAGGAACGGAGGCAGGCGCGGGGCCGGCAGGCAGCATGCGCCCGCGCGGAGCTGCCTCGGCGGCGCCCGGCGTCTGAGCCGCAGCCCGCTCGCCCGTGTGCGGAGCCCGGGTCCCCGCGCTGCGATGGGGCAGCTGCCCGGGAGGGCGCGCGGGGGCCGCCGCCTGCTGCCTCTGCTCTGGCTCTTTGTGCTGCTCAAGGTAGGGTCCCCGTCCTCGGAGGGCGCGTCCCGGCCGGCGGGGAGCGGCGCGCTGGGCAGCCGCGAAGTTCGCTTCCGCTGCGGCCGCTCTTTGTGCCCTGGGGCCGCTGATGCCCACCCCGAGGCGGGCTCCTGGGACGGAGCTTTCCTGGACACAAGGAGGCCACTTTCCCCCGCTCGCCCGCTCCCCCGGCTCCCTAACCTCTCCGCCCTGCCTCGCGGAGCCGCGGCTGCTTTGTCTAAATTCGCCTTCCGCGGGCCCCGCGCGGGCTGCGGTCCCGGGCCACGCACGCAGCGCAGCGCGGGCCGGGACGATTTGCCTTGAACGTGGGATGGGAGGTTGAGCCCGGCGGTTTCCCTCCCCGTCTGATCTCCACCCTGCGGATTCCTTGCCAAAGCTCTCCAGACTTTCTTCACTGTATTTACAGAGGACCCCAACTCTAATTTTATAAATGGGAGGGGGAAAATGTGTAACTCACTTCTTTTCGGTCCTCTTTGGAAGGAACTGCCTCAGGATTTTACTTTGGGAAAAAGGGAAAGGAAAAGCCTGTTTTGTTTTGTTTTTTTTAAATCTTAGCTTAATACCTTTATCATCTATATCTATATCTATATCTATTAAAAATCAGCTAAATGTTTGCTTGAAAGGTGGTGTGAAGTTAGGAACCAGTTATCTACCGTTCGGGACTTCAGCGGGTGTTCGTAAGCTCTGTCATTAGTCCTTTCTTGGCTTCTCCTTTTTGGAAACGGGATTGTGGACAGGTGAGCGGGAGCTAGCCTTTCAGCACCACAGCGAAGTCAACCCTAGAAACGGATGGCTGCAACACTAGCGGCTGCAAATGTTTTCTTATTAAGGAGTCACTTCTTGCTTGTATGCACCATTAATTATGAATGCCTGACAAGGATATAGTGGAACAAGACCAAAGAAATGAGAATGGCTTTGATTTTCAGTACTCTTTATCTTCATCTATCTTCATGGAAAATAGGGGAAAGTATTTCAAGGAACAATACCAAGAGTATATAAGTAAAACTATAAATTCTATTTAATATGTTTTAAGTATTTTGTTAAGTTGTGGATAAACATTTTATCTTAAAATCTGGCAAATAGTAAGTTCAGTTGTGTTTTCCCTCTAGGAGGTGGCTCTTTACTACACATGACAAATAGACTTGCTAGGGTTTTTATTATTAGTATTTCCCTATGTCAAACTGCCACCAATATTCAATCTATACAACACTCTTTATGAAATTAAATGAGAAAGTGAGCCACCGTAGGTTACTGAATAACAGCTAAGACTTACACATCCACTCTGTAACATAGGTTCCAGACCTCTGGAACAGCTGCAGGTTTTTCCTTGAGTTCTTCGGAATGGATGAGAACTCCAGAAATGAGCATGCTTAGTTTTGGAGTAGGGCTTGAGTGCTGCAAAGAAGATGTAGAAAAAAATATGGCAGAAGGTTGAAGTCAAAAGTCAATAATGGAATGAGAAAATGTAGTCATTTATGGCATAATGGTCATCTTAGCGGCTGTAATAAAAGTTCGCCCTGTTTCACATAATGAGTATATTTCTTAAAGTTTGAAGGTAAATGTCAATTATAGTAAACTCCATAATATAGTAAATCCATCAACAGACCTCGTCATCTAAAGAAATGTTACTGTAATTAGACAGTTTTTAAACTTTATTTTATGTAAGTGCAATATTTCTTTCATCTTAATGTAAGATATAGAGGAATGATGTATTTATATATAAATATACAGAATACTCAGTATGTGCCAGTCTTCCAAGTATTTTGTGTTATTTAATTTAGTCTTGTTTTGTTATACTTACCAAGTGATGTTCAAAGTGGTAAACTGTACACATAGTATAACATCTTACATTTTAGAGGTTATTATATTACATGGCGCATTGGACATATAGTAAAACTTTTTATAATTTGGAGATACTTTGGATTTCAAATTCCCTGAATAAGTGCCAGTCAAATAGACCTAACTGTACAAGAACATTTAAAAAGTACAGTATTAAACACCAAATTATCAACTGAATCTCAGTGATAAAAATCTTCCTTAAAGAAGATGTGTGCTGAGTCAGAAACAAGCTATTCCTCAAACTCTCCCTCAGAAATATCCATAGTTTTCATTATGGCCAACCATTTTTTTCATATGGATATCCAGCACTGGATTCCTAAGGATTGTCAGTCAAAGAAATTCAATTCTGGGGTTAACTTATAGTTTTACATTTTCCACGATTCAGAAATGAGCGGCTGGATATAACAGCGAGAAAGTGGAAATGTTTAAATCTGTGAATGGCTAAAACCAGTTTTACTGAGGGAACCTAAATGTCACAGACATAGAAGGTTTTGTGCATCATTCTTCATTCATGGTTTGGTTGTTGCATATTTAGTCACCTTGCATTATCTAATACTATCCGATGTACATTATGAGGCTAATGGCTGCATAATCAAAGTTGCATAGGCACAATGTTGGTGAAGAAACTTTTAATTTCATTTCAATATTGATGGTATATTTATAAAATGAGAAACAAAAATGGAGCCCTATGAAATAGGAGCCTACCAATCTCAGAGTCTTCCATCTAGGAATGCAAATGGAGTATTTATCTACTGAGTCTTTCTCTTGTGCATTTTCTCATAATGCCCAGTGAGAACAAAGTCACCTTCTTTGCCTTTTCTAACTTTACTGACCTCTCCCAGGAAATGGCTTCCTGCATCCATTCACTCAATGCCAGTTCTTTGTCAACTAAGATGGAAGTTGTAAAATATGACATCATAGAAGTCTGCTTTTCCTGAAATGTTAACTATTAATGATGAACTGGAATGTTCCCCAAATTGATAGGCTTGGATGTCATTTGATCTTCTTTCTTTCTTCATCGCCTCTCTGTATTTCCTTATTTCAGCCCTTGCCTAAGATGTCATCAAAGAACATTAACATTGAAAGGGGCCTGAACATTGTATTTTTAAAAAGAGGTTCTTGTTTAAGTCTATAAAGCATGAATGTTATGATACTGGTCATATTACTCTTTTCCTAGGTGAAATATCCACTTTTCAAAGTCTGTCTTTTTTCCGCTTCTTTGGGTTTCTTTCTCCTGTGTGTGTGTTGGGATGGGGGGAGGAGAAAGGTCCCTCTTTCCTTCACATTACAATCCTATACTCAACAGTGATGTCAAATGACCATCATCCTTTGCTTTTTCTGGAGGAACCTAGACTATCTTCCTCCCAATGAAGTTTGCTGCCCATAACTCCTAATCAACCAACTCCATTGATAACTGATGTTGTCAGACTTTTAGAGGAACACTTTTACCTGTGACATCCCCAGGAAATTGGAGAAGGCTCAGTGGCTGTGCTTTTATAACTGCTGGCATGATAATCCTCCCCACTCTGGGCACATATCTGCTTTAGTTCTTTGTTGTAGGAAAGACTATTGTCTTGTGAAAAAAAATTCACACTATCCTTCTGCCTTGCTTTTGCCCAAAGAAAATGCTGATCCAAATGCATAAGTGATAAAAGACAATACAAGATTTGTACTTCAAAATGTAGTACTGTTTCTAGTGTCTAAATATCCAACTTCAAAGTGTTTAAATTTTTAGTATATTGACTCCCAAGTCTTATAAATAACATTCCAGTTTGAGTCTTAAGGGTTTGCAAAGGATCTTGAGTGTTGGATATATTTGGTGCACCTGAATAAAACATTGTAGTTGGTAGCAGAGTGGCACAATAAAAGATCTGACAACAATGACCACACATATCTATTTTTAAGTTTTTTCTCAGTTTACTGGATTCAGGTATAATGTTCTAGTGATGTTCATTCTCAGAACAGCCCAACGCAATGATGAGGTTTACTGTAAAACACTTAGTGTTTTCATTTAATTACTCCAACTATGTCATAAGTATTTTTTGAAGCAAAACATTTACTGGTACATTTTAGATTTACATAATGATAACATTCATCATAGGGAATTTGTGCCTGTACATGGTATATCTTGCTTCTTCTTTTTTCCTATCCCCCCTTCCTTCAACCTCTCTTCCCTTCCTTATTTACAAAAGCTTCGTTTCCATTTTTTCCTTCTATTCAGTTCTTTTGAAGTAAAGAAATGTCTATTATAATTTTATTTCTTGTATTATACCTAGTATCTGGTGTTAGTATTATGTTAAAAATTTAACAAATAGGGTGAAAGTGTCCTGCATTATATTCATAGCTTCTGACTGAGAATTGTGAAATATTGTAATATTGACTTGTGAATATATCTTTAAAGAAAACATGAGGTAACTGTCATTATGTGAGTGTACTCATTATACTAAAACTCATACTCATTATAGTAAAAAAAGTTACCAATTTACACTAATAGCGCATTAACACCATATATCAAAATACTGATGTGTTTCCCCCCGCCAAGATGTAATACTTCCAGTTGTTCATTTCAGTTGTTCATTTATTCATCAATGCTGCCTTATCTGCTGTTTGGTGTCACCAATTAAAAAGTAGCCACTCACATCCTGGGACAAATGATTCCCTTACCGGATCTGTAATCTACAACTTCAGCCAATATCCAGATATGCACAATGTTGTTGGTTTCTCTTTCACATCACTACTGTAAATCCACTATCATCCAGAACTGACCATAATTTCTGCATTCCTAGTGGTAGAAGACCTTCTAATTTTTGCCAGAAATTGCCCTCAAAAGACAATCCCTTTTCTATAATCTGGTCTTGGTTATATTGAGGCTGATGTTTACTCCAGAGTCATAATCCTATGACTTTAAGAACCTTTCTATAGTGCCATAGGAGACCCATTGATTTCAACATTTTCTGCTTAAATAAATGAGAACTTCTTTGTGCAAAAGTGTCATTGATTTCAGGAGCCAAGCCAAAGTAATGTGGCCCGAGTAACTGAACAAGAGTGCAGATGAAGTGGATGAGGCATGAGGCACAGTCTCAACCTGGCACCTGCTGTCATAGCTACCCAGCTGGCTCCGTATGCTTCCTCCTAGCCAT